TATGGAAGCTAAAATGTTGTTTCCATACAAGTAGAGAATAAAATAGGGTTATCAGAAGGGATGGAGGGGTATAAGAAAGGTAGATACTGGTCAGTGGTTAAAGATTACATTTAGGTAATAAGTTCTGGAGTTTTATAGAAAAGTAGCATGACTACAGTTACAATAATTTATTGTATGTATCAAAATGGCTAGAAGAAAGGGATTTCAAGCCGGGCGCTGGTGGCTCATGCCTGTAATCCTAGCTACTCAGGAGGCTGAGATCTGAGGATCACGGTTCAAAGCCAGCCCGGGCAGGAAAAGTCCATGAAACTCTTATCTCCAATAAACCACTAGAAAGCCCTTTGTGGCACTGTGGCTCAAGTGGTAGATTACACGCTCACCTTGAGCTGAAGAGCAGGGACAGAGTCCAAGCCCAGAGTTCAAGCCCCACGACCAAAAAAAAAAAAAAAAAAGAAAAGAGAAGGATTTCAGTGCTCCCAACACAAAGTAACAAATGCTTAAAGCGATTAAGACACATTAAATACCCCCACTTTGATCATTATACATGATATGTGTATGTACGTGTGTGTGTGTATGTGTGTGTGTGTGTGTGTGTGTGTGTGTGTGTATCTGTGCAGCTCAGTGTAGATTGCTTCCCTAATGTATCTAAGGCCCTGGGTTCAATCCCCAGCACTACAATAATAGTAATAACAACAACAATCTCTGAGGGTTCATTCTAACTCCTATTTTGGAAGCCCTCAATTCCCTGGACTGCCACCCGTCACCAGCACCCAGATTGTCCCTATGTTAAGGTGAAGAGAGTGTCACTACCATGACACTCTGTCAGAGGGAAACATGCCTGCTAGACATTTCTACCCCCAAAAGAGATCGAAGAAAACCTAAACCTTAAAGAAACATAAACACAAAAGCATCTTAATAAGAGGTGCTAGAGAATTCTACAGTGTTAGCCTCAGTGGGGGAGAGAACGCCAGAGAGGTCCACAGCACTGATATTGGGTTCTGGTGGAGGCAGATGGCAGAAGCGACAGAAGAAAATAAACCACAAGGAAGTTTTGGAATTATTACAAGATCTCGCTTGACAAGAACTCTTCTCTCAGATAAACACTTCTAGTGTAGTCTACTGTAACTTAAACTATTTCCAATAAAACAACTAGTGTTGGAGAGTCAACAAGCCACAATTCTTTCTTAAATCAGAGCAATTCAAAAGATAACGGTAGCAAGGGAAATGGCAAAATAAAAGACATAAAATACCACTGAAAACAACACTTACATGCAAATTTATTACTTAGGAGACCAAGCCTATAAGCCATAATCATTAAGAGTAATGGGGGATAAAAAGCCTTTAAATTGTAAATAATATCTCCTGGCAAAATCTTCCTTTTACTTTCAGAAAGCAAATCTATTTTGCTTCTATTTATTTAGCACTGAGTCCACAGTAAAAGCTTGGGCTGACACCAGGAGTGTGGGTAAAAGGCCAGAGCATGAACTAACTGGTGGTTGCTCTGTGGGCAGAGGGTCTCCAGAAAGCTTCCATGTTTTCCCTCCAATCTTCCCTTTCCTTCCACCACTCCTGCAGAAATATCACAATAATAAATCTCTTACACTGGCATTATTCCCATGGCAACAGACGGAGAAAGCGGAGGGCCAGCTCTGCAGCAAGATCAAATGGTGAGAGAGAACTTGAGGGTTTTCTGTGGAGCCTCTTGCAACCTCACTATATGCAGTGTGGAAGGAAGGGAAAGTTCCCCAGAAAAATCATACACTTCAAGCATGGTTTTGACAACTTGACTCCTCCCAGATACAACCTCAGCTTCCTCCCCAAAGCACAGCAACACCCTGATCACAGCAACACCCCGACCAACCTGGGACCAGTGGAGAACCCACGAAAATAATCAGACTCTGATCACAGTTCTATGGGTGTAAAACAAGCATGACAGAGAGGGATTTGGTTCTCACCTTTACACAGGTTGTTACAAAAGTCAGTCTGAAATTGATGCACAGGGAAACCCAGTTTGTGTCATACTCAATTTAGAATACACAGAAACTGCCTCATTCAGACAGGTGTTCAAATAAAACATGTGTTGTTCTCTGTGTGCGTTCTACAACCTCTGCTCTTCTACTCAACCCTTTCTCAACTTCACCCACAGCATGACAGCAACTTTCTCAAACAGGTTTCATTGCTCCCATTCTGATAATGATGATGATAATAACAATAATAATAATTAACAATAATAAACAGGTGGCTCATGGAAGATCACAAAGCAAGCAAAATGTACAGACCTCAAACCAATTTTCTCTATAGTGATTTATTTAAAAAAAAGATCCTTAATTACAAAGAATGAATGTAAACTAGAAAAATCTTAATCACACAAGAATAATTAGATAATACAGGGGGGAAAGGGAAAAACTCAATTACTAACTATACCAATACCCAGAGAAAGCATTTCTAGAACATTAGTACATGATCTCTTTTCCATATACACCTACAAATAGGTAAACCTGTACACTTTTAAATGATAATGGTATCACTCCAGATGTATTGCTACTCAGTAAATAGCCATGTTAGTGATTCATGAACAGGGAAGGAAAGAAAGAAAGAACCATCTGGCTGAGAAGGTAGCGCAGTGGTAGAGCGCTTGCCTTGCATGCATGAGGCCCTGGGTTCGATTCCTCAGCACCACATAAGCAAAAAGAAAAAAGCCAAAAGTGGCACTGTGGCTCAAGTGATAGAGCGCTAGCTTTGAGCTGAAGAGCTGAGGGACAGTGCCCAGGCCCAGAGTTCAGGTCCACGACTGGACCCCCCCCCCAAAAAAAAAAGAAAGAAAGAAAGAACCATCCCCTCACCACCACCACCACCTCTCCCCCCGGTCCCACACCCCAACTGCATACAGCAGCATGCTCCTGTTGGCTTAGGGGAAGACATGACAGAGTTAACTATAGATGGACAAAGGCAGTGTACACTTCAACTATGTCACAAGACAGCATCTGTTCCTAAGTACCACGAACACCTTTGGAGACAGACCTCTACTCATATTCATAAATTGCTAATCTTATAATTATTGCTGCTTCCCCAAGGTCGTCCAGAGGCCAAACTGGGTTGTGGAAATGCTCTTGCTGTCGGCTATAATTCTTAACCACCACACTGGGTTTCATAAAGTAGTTTCTACTTCTATGTGCATTTCTCCCGCTGTAAGTGGGGAGGAACTATTTTTTCATATATGTTAGCTATTCCTTCTAAGAGTAGAATTTCTCGGGGTTTTTTTCATGCTAGTTATAAGAATTGTTTATAAAGACAGGCTAGCAACATTTTATGTGTCATGTACACTGCACATATTTCTCCAGTTTTTTATTTCTCCTTAGCGCTGTCTATACTTTCTAGGACTCAATCTATCACTTTCCCCTTCCATGGCCTTGGCCTGCTTTTGAGATCATGCTTCATAAGCTTTCCCCCAGGATTATGAAGTTTTTGAGCTACAGTTGATATTTATTTATGTATTGATTGCATTACATGCATTTAATCCACATAGAATTCATTTTTGAATAAAGATAAAAACGTGAAATGTATTTCCCTGACTGCTTTGGCAATTGGGGCCTGATGTGATTTTTCTAATTCATTTGTTCTCCATCAATTAGAGATACCACTGCTATCACCTTATAAAATATTTCCTTTCAGTTTTGTTTGCTTTCTATTTTCTAGTCCCCTCATGAAGCTGTCAGTTTCCATATCAATAACAGTCTATTATATTCACTATACCTTATAGTGTGACAAAAATCCAGGCTACATGTATGCCACATGCTCAAAAAGACAGGTGCACCTGCCACAGTAATAGTACCCGAAGAAACAAATGCCCTGTTAAAGACTATTTTTCACATAACCATCAGCCTTATGTATTCAAAATAAGAAAAGATTCTAATCCTGGCCAAGAATGTTGACTTAACCCAGAAAACCACCTGTGATTTCAAAACTTGTTATTTTAAATTCTACCTAAATGGAAAGATCCCTGTCAGGAATTCATGCTAAGTCACATAAATCATTCAATGAATTCCTGACACATGTGATTACCCTAATTCAGAACATCCACCAAAAAAAAAAAAAGTATAGCTTCCCCAATGTGGGCCTCACATGGAGAATTCCTCATGCAGCATGCACAGAGGATTATGAAGTGTGACTGTGACACTCCATTGTAGCCACTGGCAACAGAGGTGTGACAGAGGTACAGTGAACTCCTGGTTAATCCTCGCTCTTCATTGCCTGGCCTGCTTTAGATACATGAAGAAGAAGAATAGTGACATCTAATGGCCACAAGACATGTCACTAACATTTCTGTTCTAGTTCTATATTCTATTCTATTTCTTTTCTCTGTTCTATTTCTATTTCAATAAAATAGAACAATATACACGTTCCAGGTTGAAAGACGAAGTCCGACAATTCTTCAGTTGTACACATTAGGTTCCTATTATAAATTCTATGCTTGGGTCAGCCATGAGTGACTCGGATGCCTATCAGAAACCTCGCAGCAGGGCTGGGAATGTGGCTTAGTGGTAGAGTGCTTGCCTAGCATGTGTGAAGCTCTGGGTTTGATTCCTCTGTGCCACATAAAAAGAAAAAGAAACCTCATAGCCTGTTGCAAGAACAATCTCTCATTTCATTATTCAACCTTAGTTCTACTACGTTCAAGACTGTGGGCTCTAGTGCCACCAATGACAGTAAGCAATCCTGGTACTAATGGCCTGTCAATCACCTTAAATGACCCTCAGCAAAATTCTGAGCAAACTTTCTGAAAAGAACTGTTTGTATTTGGAACACTTGGAAAGTAGATCTGGTATTCTGGGTCAAATGTGAGCAAGGACAGCATTTTGAATCCCAAGCAGGACTCATAAAGGCACACAGGGAATGTTTGTGTTGCAGGGAATCACTTGATACACCCAGCCAGGCAGGGCTACACAGGTCAGGACAGCAAGTGTCCCACAGCACACTGCTTTACCAAGCCCCCCACTCACCGATGCCTGCCTCTCTCAGAGTACTGCCTTCTCTGAGCAGAAGTTGGTCATCATCCTCCAAATTCAGCACCAGCTCATTTGTCTGAAAGGGAAGGAAAGCCATTAGTATTCCTGCACAGTGTATACCTGGGCATGCTGCACAGAAGCATAAGAATTGTTTCTTGGAGGTATTCAATAATCTAAGTCACATTCTACTCCCACTGTGGTAAGAAGAGGGGAAGGAAACAAATGCAGACCTACTAAGTGCATACACTGTACTGAAGAGACAATACTAACAGCATGGGCTTTGGAGAGAGACCTAGCTGAGTTCAACTCTCAAGAGCCCAGCTGTGGGCTCTCTGTAAACTGTGAAACACAGGATCCAGTTTCCTCCTCTTTAATAAAGGGGAAGAAAAGCATTTTCCTCATCACCTTGTCATGAGGACATGAGATGGAAGTGGATAAACCCTCACACACAGGAAGCACATGCCTTTCCTGACCAGTTTTCACTCTAACAAATGCTAAGGTACAGGTCCAGGGTATACTGCCAGTCAGTGGCGGAGCTTAAGTTAAATCTTTACCCATCTGACTTCTGAGAGAATCAACTTTATCTCACATAACCCAAAAGTCCACCTAGCTAAACATATTGTCCAAGCAAACAAGGATTCACCTGTGTCATTCAATTGTACTATTTATGTCATTAGGGTGGAAGTAGATGAGTTTGCTCTCCACTTACAGCTACAAATCCAATTAGGGATCATAGACATAGGAGTTTTAGGGTACCATTTGGCCATGAATAGCACATGCAAGTGACACTTAGTGGGGTACACAGAACTACTTTTCAACCAGATGTGGCTGTTCAGAGCATATGTCTTTTCTAGAAACAGAACAGAAAGGCCTCTCAGCTCCAAACTAGACCCTCTGAACCCAAAGGCCATCAGCCATGAACTTCATTTAGTCAGGAGCACAAGAACTTGTTCTTCAAAGCAATGTATTAGAAGAAAACAGAAAACCTCCTTTTTGAAAATCATTTTAGAATAGGTAGTATATACTTGTGATGTAAACATATGGACAGAGTGAAAAGTATGGCTCCTCCCAGCCCTTCTCTGCCAGCTACCTATGCTTCCTCCAAAGAACTTGTATCTATTCCTAATTCCTGCACAGCCTTCACAGGTTGTCTCTGTGTACTGTGGACAGATGTGTATGGAAACATTTTCACACACCAGGAGCATAGGTATGCTATGTTCTGACTCCTTTTGCTCTTAAAAACAATTTCAAATCATTCTACCTTTTCTTTGAAAAGACATCTAGCTCAGTCCTCAGAGATGGGCACTGAGCTTGTTCCTCTCCTCCATAAATTATCTTGCAATGAACACCCTTGCACATATATTACATATGTACCATTCTATCCATTCTATAAATCCCTAGAAGTAAAGCTGCCAGGTCAGAGAGTTACGTGCAACTTTTATTTTGGCAGGTGTTGCCAGATAACTCTCCTGAGAAACACTTACGCAAGCTATGCCTGCAGTAACTGCTTCCACACACATGCCAACAGTGAGTTAGCAAGACTTAAATGCACATTAATTGTACTCTTAATTTACATTTATTTTCTTATGACTAAAGTGGCTTCAATTGATTTGTAGGGTAACTGATTCAACGCAATTGTGTGATCTCACATAAGGACAGGATCTCACATAAGGACAGGATCTCACATAAGGACAGGTAGTTATGTCTCCAGTGTCGATGGGATTACAGTGGCACACCACCACACTCTACCACTTGAACCACATTCCCAGTTCTTCTGCTTTTAGTTTTGTTATTCTGATAAGTTTCTTCCACTTTTCTTCAGGCCAGCTTTTGCCTTCACCTATCAAATAGTAGGGACTACAGGTAAGCACTGCATCACCCAGCTCAGAATTGACGTTGTGATACTATCACGATACTATCCTCATTATCCCCAGCATATCTCGCTTTTCCCTCTCCCTCACCCTGTCTTTCTCTCCCTTTCCCTTTTCTTCTCTGTCTGTGTGTCTATGTGTCAGTCTCCCCCCTCCCCTTCCTTCTCTCTCTCATTCAACTCAGGGCTTGGACACGGTCCCCGAACTCTTTTTGCTCAAGGCTAGTGCTCTACTGCTTTAAGACACAGCACCACTTCTGGTTTTGTGGTAGTTAATTGAGATAAGAATCTCATGGACTTTCCTGCCTAGGCTGGATTTGAGCCTTAGATCTTAGCCTCCCAAGTAGTTAGGATTATAGGCACGAGCCACTGGCACCTGGCTATCCCCAGCATTTCTATTTAAGACTTATTATAACCCTCATGGGATATTTTGCTCTCTAAAGTTGAAATATAATTTAGCTTAGTAAAATGCGTAAGTCTAAAGAGGAACTCACTTTAATGAGTCTAGACAATCACAGCTTGTAGAGTTATATTCTTAAGAGTGTTTAAGCCAGGCACCGGTGGCTCACACCTGTAATCCTAGCTACTCAGGAGGCTGAGATCTGAGGATCTTGGCTCAAAGGCAGCCCAGGCAGGAAAGTCCATGAGATTCTTATCTCCAATTAGCCACCAGAAAACTGGAAGTGGTACTGTGGCTCAAGTGGTAGAGCACTAGCCCTCAGATGAAGAGCTCACAGAGAGCACCCAGGCCCAGAGTTCAAGCCCCACAACCAAGAAAACAAAAGGCAAAAAACAAAAAAACAGTGTTTGTGACAAGGGAAGGGAAATAAGGCTGGCAGTGGGTAGTACAGGGTGTGATGAGAACATGTGGCTAAGGTTTTCTGAGGTTTGAAGACTGTTATCTGTAAAAAGCACATGGAATTCTTTAGAAAGTTGCATAACCATCTCCAGGGGACAGAGTCCATACTTAACTAGAATAGTTAGGAATTGGGGGAAAGTTTACAACCAGAGTCCACAAATACTCTAAGTGACTAGCTCAGGGAATTCCTCCTTGAACAAATGTACTGCTCAGCTGGGGAAATAATCCTAACTCACAACGCAGTTGGCCTAACATACCCAATGGGTGGGCAGCTGTGGATTCAACCATTTATGGATTGAAAACACTATCAGTCATATGCTGGTTCTCTCTGTATGGCATATGTAACGATCTTTTTCTCTTGTTATTACTCCCTAAATGATAAAGTACAATGACTATTTTGATAATATTTATACTGTCTTAGGCATTGTAAGTAATCTAAAAACAATTCAAAGTGCTCTCTCTCTCTCTCTCTCTCTCTCTCTCAAACCTTTCTATCTCAAGGACTTGAGGATCTTTGGATTTTGCTGTCCAAATGGATCCCAGAACCAATCTGAAGGAAGGACTATATTTCATGTTTTCCATGTTTTGGGAACAAGGTTGAAAATACTCCTGGCCTTAAGAAGTAATAAACTGGATGAAGTCTGTGGTCAGATGTAGTGGTGGAAAGTTCTAGTACCATAAATGGGGTAGAAGACACTGTGTGTCCCTCAGACATACCATGTAAACACAACATTTTGAGGTATCTGACAACGGGTATTATCAAATTTTCATATATGAAGGTCCCTATAAAGTTACCAATCCCCCTGCCATTTTTTTATGATCTAGGACATATATTCACCTGAAAGCTGATTGAGTTTATGAGTACAACTACACCTAGACACAAAGATGAGTATTAGTGACCCTAAGAGTTAAAAGTAAGATTAGGTCCTGACTCCTGACAGCTTCATGTAACTGAGTGAGCATACTGCTTCAACAAAAAGTCCATGCTGGGACTAAACAAGAGGGAAATCTTCTACTGTGATCTCATCAAAACATTACTATAGGAAGAAACAGAGGGGCTGGGAAGGTGGCTCAGTGGTACAGTGCTTGCCTTGCATATATGAGGCCCTGGGTTCGATTCCTCAGCACCGCATAAGCAGAAAAAGCTGGAAGTGGTGCTGTGCCTCAAATGGTAGAGTACTGGCCTTGAGCTGAAGAGAAGGAGGTGGAGAGGAGGAAGAGGAGGAAGAGGAGGAAGAGGAGGAAGAGGAGGAAGAAGAGGAGGAAAGGAGGAGGAGGAAGAGAGGAGGAACAGAGGTGTGAGTACAGGACTGAAAATCCCTTTAGAACTCACTGTATTCTATAACCTGGGGAATAAGCTGGACTTCCCTTACAATGGATCACCTGCCTCTAATTGCTTCTGGGATGTCATTAAGCAGAGAGACTAGACTGCCAAGTAATAAATGGCTTCTTTTAAATGTGACCCAAGCTTCCTTATTTTATATAAATGTTAGGTATTTTAAAAGTACACCATACACTACCTTTTGTGTGTGTGTGTGTGTGTGTCTGTGTGTCTGTCTGTCTGTCTGTGTGTCTGTCGTGGGGCTTGAACTCTGGGCCTGGGCGCTATCACTCGGCTCTGATTCAGCTCAAGGTGAGTGCTCTACCACTTGAGCCACAGCAACACTTCCGGTTTTCTGGTGGTTTGTTGGAGATAAGAGTCTCCTGGGCTGGGAAGGTGGCTCAGTGGTAGAGTGCTTTGCCTTGCATGCAACGAGGCCCTGGGTTCAATTCCTCAGCACCACATAAGCAGAAAAAGCTGAAGTGGCACTGTGACTCAAGTGGTAGAGCACTAGCCTTAAGCTGAAGAGCTCAGGGACAGTGCCCAGGCCCAGAGTTCAGGCCACAAGACCAAAAACAACAACAACAACAACAACAACAAAGAGTCTCATGAACTTTCCTGCCGGCTGGCTTTGAACTGCAATCTTCAGATCTCAGTGTCCTGAGTACCTAGGATTACAGGTGTGAGCCACGGGCGCCCAGCTACACTACCTTTTTAAAGGATCTGCTACTAATAGATATATGTGACTTGGCTTTTTTAATTTAATGGGAAAGGAAGGCTAAAGAAAGGAAACCTACAAAATGATAATGATTTAAATACAAAATATACATGTGTTCACTCACTCCTCAGTTCAACTAATGCTGAGTCCTACTATAAGCCACATACTGCACACATGGAACATACCTGACTTATTTCAAAACCATTATTTGTATACATGTTAATTGTACTGCATAAGTTTCGTTTTTTTAACATTCCTAGACATGTTTATAATGCTGTTTGCATACCTTTGATTTATGTGCTTGATGCATAATCTTTAGTTTATCTGAAAAAAAAAAACAAATTGTCTTTTTACACAGATTATTCTAATAGTTTTGGGGGTTTTATACTGGTTCTGGGGCTATCCTTGAGCTTTGTTACTCAAGGCTAGTGTTCTACCACTTGAGTCACAGCTCTACTTCTAGCTTTTTGGTGGTTAATTGGAGGTAAGAGTCTCACAGATTTTCCTACTCATGCTATTGAGTAGAATTACAGGCATGAACCACCAGCACCCACTTCTAATACTTCTTTTGAAGCTGCTGGAGGTGTTGCTAAGTGGTAGATCACTTGCCTGGCATATTGGAAGCTCTGTGTACAATCCCCAGCTCCAGGAGAGGAAAAAAAAAAAAACCCACACACAGATAAAAGTACAAAGATGCTTTAAAGCTTTGTACTTTGCCACACAACAATGGTGTTTCACATATAAAGTCAACTCAGCCTCTTTGACCTTAGAAGAAAAACAAATCCCATGACTATTTCATCTTTTAAGCGTCATTATTAAGGCTAAATTCACAAATATGAAAAATAATACATATATCCTAAATTGAGGCAGGCATTAACCACAGCAGTTCAAAAACACACATACTCTCAGGGCAGGCATAGCATTCTGTATCACTGGCAGAAGTCAAACATTGTCCACGAGCACAGGATCCACTTTCTGCTTTCACACACTACACAGGCAGACTCTGCCCAAGGCGCTTTGTTCAACCCCAGCCTCATTCCTTAATCTGCTTACTCTGAAGTCAGGTCGTACTGTGCTTTTACAATAGGCAATTTCTTCACACTTGGGTAAAATTCTGACTGCAACCATCAGTCCCTAATTATATAGTAGATATAGCCATTCAATAGGCTTAAATTCCTGAAGTTTCCAGTTCCCAACTCTGTTTTATTTAACCATTCCATTATTCTATTGTGAGTACAGCATATTATTACATCTCAGTAGGCTGGAAAGTACAATTCATTTCTATTGCTCATGTTGTCACAAGGAATTTCAGTGGTGGTAGGAAATGAGCCATTTAAAAAACAGACTTCAATTTGATGGTGTTGCCATAATACCCCAAGAATAGGGTATACATCTCCCAGTGAAGAACTGGCATTCTCAAATACCCACGATTTAAGCAGTCAATCTACAGCCATACATTACTAGTGTTTTCTTTTCCTTCTATTTTTTTTATTAGTATACATTAGTTATGGGGGGGATTTCATTTGACATTTCCATACATTTACAATGCATCCAGTCAGTCTCACACACACCCCAATTTCTCTCTCCTTATTAGGATAATTTCAACATGTTTCATTGTTCTATTTTCATAGATGCAAACCATCTACTTCCACTGAGTTTATCCTTTTTCATTCTTTTCCAAGTGCTTTCTATTGAGATTTTCAGTACAAGGTCAGCACCCTCAGGACTACAGCTCTACATTCTTAATAAATACAAGAAAAATATGCTTCTTAGGAATGTAAATATGCTACAAGTGTTAAAACTCAATTTACATTGAAGGAATAAAATAAACAAATGTTACCATTAGATTCTCTATTATTCTGAGTAACCATTACACTTTTCTTGCTACATGTGTGTTTCCAGTTATTATCTGAGTTAGGTTAGAGAAACCAACAACTTTTTTTTTTTTTTTTTAATAAAAGGAGCTCAAGCCAGGCACCAGTGGCTCACACCTGTAATCCTAGGAGTTTGAGATCTGAGGATCACGGTTCAAAGCCAGCCTGGGCAGGAAACTTTGTGAGACTCTTATCTCCAATAAACCACCAGAAAACTGGAAGTAGCACTGTGGCTCAAGTAGTAGAGTGCTTGTCTTGAGCTGAAGAGTACAGAGACAGCACCCAAGCTCAGAGTTCAAGTCCCATAACTGATTTAAAAAAAAAAAAAAAAGGAGCTCAAAGTCTGTTAAAATCAACTTGAAAACTGTACTTTGACTTTTTAAATATTAATCACAGCCTACATACTTTTAATAAGCCTTTTAATGAGAAATAACTTTGCTTTGAGAGATTTGGCAAGTCCACAACAAGACTATGTTATTTTACTTTTAACAGAAAAAGAAATACTCTGAACAGAAATTTCACCATATTGTTCTCTCTGACACAAATTGGTGAAATCCAAGAAGAGGGAATGCAGAAAAATGATAAGCTAGCAGAAAGTGTTGTATTTTATATATCTTTTGTGGTTGTATAATCTCCTTTGCTTATTTTGACTTCTGAAAAAATACTCTTTATTAACAAAGCACTATCTATGGGTATTGTTTCCTTAATGAAATATCCTTGAGGAAAGAACTTTATAAAAATAGTATCTTGTATTTGTGGAACATTTACTATGTTGGCACATGAATTGTCTGATTTTATAGAGCCTTATAAAATAGCAATTAGCTAATCATATGTCTGTGCTCATTTGTTCCTAATTCAGAGTTAGTTTCCTGGTTCTGAGAAATGAAGAACCAAGAATGAATCAGGAAAAATAAAAATGCAATTTGAGTTTGAAAAAAAAAAAAAAAGCAATTAGCATACGAGCACTGGACATGAATGCCTTCAGTACCTGATAGCTACACAATTGGGACTTAAAAATAAGTAGCATAAGTGGTTAAATCAGTAACAGATGTAGATGTCAATTAAACAAGAAGAGGACTCTGGGAAATCTCAGACACTGATGGCCAAGAGAGCCAGCTGTGCCCAAGGGCACAGCAACAGTAACCTGAAACATTGAGATCGGACTCTGCACCCTTCCTACTTTCCCACACCCAGAGGAGTGTTCAGTTTCCACAAGTCATGCAACAATGCTGGATGGCAATGGCAGGTGACAAAGTAAGACTGCAGCCTTTCCTGCTCCTCACAAAGTATCAGACTGTTAACTCGCCAAACCCCAACAAAGAAGACTCAGTGGTTCTGCAATTTCTCCCCAGCTCATCTGCATACACAGAAGCCCTGGGAGGAAAGGGTTTCAATCAGATGCAATCATCGAAAGGGAATTATTTATCACAACTCAGATAGTCTGATGCTCTCATTATTTTTAAATTGATCTTTAGAAACAATTTGTGTGGAATCTAAGTCTTATATAGACACAAGCACCATGCAAAAGGGAAACCATATGTAACTCTTTTAATTTGAAGTGGCATGTGAAAGATGAGTCAAGTTGAAGGTTCTATTTCAAGGCGGTATTCTTCAAAAGCCAAGAAAGCCACAACTGAGAAGTTTCATGTTTACCTTAATCACACTTTCTATTCCTTTCTCTTACTCAATATTGAGTATGTAAATGCTTTAGGGCCAATAAATCAAGGTACTTTCCACTCAGTGCCTTCAATTCTGCTTGACTACCTCTTATGACCTCACAATTAAGTCTCTGGTATTAAAATGCAGACACACGGAGAAGACTGAGATTTCAAAGGACTCTAGGTCATGAGTTGCCCTGTGGAACTGGAACAGCAGAAAAAGCCACTCCAAAAAATGCTCTAAGGTAATAAAAAATGTATACTTTAAAAACGTCTGCACTCATTAATGGAAATATTCATTAGGTGCATCCTAATTTTCAAGTCAACTCTCCAATTCAGGTTTGCTAAATGTCAGTATGCTGAAGGGTAGTGGCTCTTCTGTCTTTATTCCAATTCATGACTCCCAGCCTCTGGACTTCTTACAATATATTTAAATCATCATTGCAACATTCAACATATAAACCTAACTTGTTCAAGTTATTTGCATGTAAATTACAAAATCTGTTTTTCTCATTCTTAGTCCTCAATCATTTTTCCTTCTTTGATTATCTGGTAAAGAACTTATTATAGAAACAGTTTTGCCAAACATGTTATTCCTCAAACATACACTGCATTCCTAAACAATTACAACTTGTTTTAACAATATAGTAGGATTCCTATACTCCATAACCTTCTAAATGGGTTATTTACTTATTTTGGAGCTAGGGATGAAACCCAGGGCCTTATACATACTAAGTATGTGTGCTATGGCTGAGCTTTACCTCCAGTGCCTCCAAACTCATTCTAATTTACAGTAAATTAACTTTGAAAACCAAATTCAAATTCCTATCAACAAAAAACAAATGCAAAATAGTGATAACATACACTTCAGAGAATAAGAAAACAATCATTACCATATTTGTAATTTCTGAATGGTGGTGGCAGGTTGGTCCTCAAAGGAATATCTACAAAAGAAAGATAATTTTTAGTATAAAATATTGGGACATGGGGCTGGGAAGGTGGCTCAGTGGTAGAGTGCTTGTCTTTTTGTTGTTGTTGTTGTTGTTTGTTTTTTTTGTCGGTCGTGGGGCTTGAACTCTGGGCCTGGGCGCTGTCCTTCAGCTCTTCAGCTCAAGACGAGCACTCTACCACTTGAGCTACAGCGCCACTTCCGGTTTTCTGGTGGTTTATTGGAGATAGGAGTCTCACAGTCTTTCCTGCCCGGGCTGGCTTTGAACCGCGATCTTCAGATCTCAGCCTCCTGAGTAGCTAGGATTACAGGCGTGAGCCACCAGCGCCCGGCTAGAGTGCTTGTCTTGTATGCATGAGGCCCTGGGTTCGATTCCTCAGCACCACATAAGCAGAAAAAGCCGGAAGTAGCACTGTGGCTAAAGTGGTAGGGCGCTCGCCTTGAGCTGAAGAACGCACAGGCAGCACCCAAGCCCAGAGTTCAAGCCCCACGACCAACAAAAAAATACATATATGGACATAATGTACAATGTACATAATGTAGAATGCCCTCCTCTGTTCACAGGCTTAAGTGAAGCATATTGACAGGAGACAAATGTAGCTAATGTGACATCAAAATCCATGGGCATCTCAAACAATGAAGCCATCAGTAAGGTATCAATCAAGCTGTTATTAACTGAACTGAAGATTCAAAAACAATATTAACAGAATCAGTACTTCATTAAGCACAACAGTCCCTATGTGCACTTAAAATCTATAATATACATGTATAGGTCATTATGTATTTTCTATATACTTGATGCTTATATATGACTTTGAGAACCCTTGAATGTCTTTAGTCACTAGCAGGAACCAGTAATCTAAAACAATATTATGACTCTTACCAAAATTCAGAGGCCCCACCTAAATCCTCACAAAAACAAAACAACACAAAGAATAAGTGGTCTTTTTAAAACAGATTCCAAATACTAATATGCAGTTTAATTAATAGCATCTGATAGAACTCCTACAGAGGATAATTTGGTAACATATCAAAACTGTATGCCTACAATTCTTCACCTAACCATCCCAATACAGGAACCATCTCAGAGACTTTACATGTGTGTGTGGGCGGGGGGGAGGGGTAGTGACATCCATATATGGATAGTACAGCTTTGATTACAAATGTTCAGAAAAATGCATTCTTCACTGACATTCTTATTCGATATAACATGCCCGATAAAATAAGATAAATTATATATATAAATATATATCTAATATATATAAATATATTATGTATATATATAATTTAGAGAGGGGGAATACATCTTTCATAGGGCTTGGATTGGTTTATTGTGCTGCTTTTAGTTAGGCATGTGACCTTATGTTTCTCAGGCATGTTTCTCAGCCTCGTTTGTCCATTACCTATACAATGAGAGTGATGGCGAGGCAAGAGGCTGCAATGAAACTATCTAGGCAGAATGCATGGGTACAGTAAGCACCTCAGACACAGCAACACCAGCAGTCATCATTATCACTATCTCAAAAACTCCTCACTCAGCCAGGTATCTGTGGCTCATGCCTGTAATCCTAGCTACTCAGGAGGCTGAGATCCAAGGATCTCAGTTCAAAGCAAACATAGACAGAAAAAGTCCTTAAGACTCTTATCTCTTAGCCACCTAAAAGGGACAATGATGCTGTGGCTTAAATGGGAGAGCACTAGCCCTATGCACCAAAGCTCAGGGACAGTGCCCAAGCCCTGAGTTCAAGACCCAAGATTGGCAAAAAAAAAAAAAAAAAAACACAAAACAAAAAAAAAAATCAAAAAACAAAAAACAAGACTTCTTTGAATGCAAGGATGTGGCTCACCAACTCTTCTAAGCTCTACAGACCTGCAAGTCAGATGAAAAAGATAGGCTTGGGCACCGAACTCACAGCTCAAAAGTTTGTGTACCCCCCAAACGTTCACCTTTTTTCTAGCAGTGGAATGGTCTCCACCATGCACAACGGGAGACAGCAGGTGAAAGGCATTAGCAGGCAGGCCTGTCCATGTGGGGGTGATGGGAACCCCTGCTCTGTTGGGGGACAGGGTACAATCAGTTGTCTCCCTCAGTGATCCTGCAGTCCTGGGAAGAAAAGAATGTACCGACTCTGGCAAGTCTACAACTTCCCCTGGCCTTGTTGTAGTTTGAAAATTACATCTTATTCTCGAGGACTTTTAAGAGGAATCTATTGTGCCTGTACCAAGAACTCTCTTGCACTCACTGCATCAACACCAAAGACACCACAACCAGAAAGAATTTAAAATAAAAATGTAGGGATTTCCTTTTGCTTTAAAACTTGAAAATGCTTTGAGTAACAACCTCTCAAAAGCAGGACACTGTGATATTGCAGGAAACCAGAATGTGCAATCTCAATCTGTGCTTCTCTGGCATAAGGTTTGGAGCTAAAAGCAGATGCAAAAAGTTCTTTTTATTCCTTCTATTTATCTAAAAGCAGTCCACAGACCACAAAGACAAAGGCTATCCCACCTACCCTCTTCATCAGAGGAACAAAGGTTAATGGCTGACAACGTTTCCCTTCTCAGCCAGCAGATGGCAACAGAGGGGAATCACACTAGTAAGCTTGCCCAAGTCTTTGCTCCCTGCCCACAAGCTGCCAATCCTGAGGTCTCAAAAGCCTTTTTCCACTGTCTTGGCACTGCTCTAAATATTGTGCACCAAAGACTCCAGATATGCAAGAATATAGGGCCTTCATTGAGAATTACTCCCTGACTATCCCCAAGTGCATATGAAATACACTCTAATAAACTGCTTACTTTTCCCTTGTTAATCTATCTTTTGTTATAGGTTTCTCTTCCAACTACGAATTTATAAGGGTTGAAGAAATTATTTCCCCTCCCCTGTAATATCATCTCTTAGTATGATCTTTCAATCCCCATACACATTAAGAAAACAGCAATAGGGGCTGGGAAGGTGGCTCAGTGGTAGAGCGCTTGCCTTGCATGCATGAGACCCTGGGTTCGATTCCTCAACACCACATAAGCAAAAAGAAAAAAGCCGGAAGTGGCGCTGTGGCTCAAGTGGTAGAGCACTAGCCTTGAGCTGAAGAGCTGAGGGACAGCGCCCAGGCCCAGAGTTCAGGCCCCACAACTGGACCCAAAAAAAAAAAAAAAAAGAAAGAAAACAGCAATAAGCTGGGTGCCAGTGGCTACTCAGGAGGCCAAGATCTGAGGATTGTGTTTGAAGCCAGCCTGGACAGGAAAGTCCATGAGAGTTTTATCTCCAATTGACCACCAAAAAGCTAGAAGAGGAGCTGTGGCTCAAGTGGTACAACACTAGCCTTGAGCTAAAAAAGCTCAGGGACAGCATCCAGAGGTCCTAAATTCAATCCTCAGGACCAGCACACAAAAGAAAACAGCAATAAAAACTTCATACTTACATGTAAGTCAATAAAGTTATTTTAGGAATAATTATGTTCTTTATATGAAGTCCTTTAAAGAATCACTTTGAAGTAGTGAGTCTATTTACTCACTGCCAAAAAGGGACCAATGAATGGAGGACAAGTTATGAAGACAAGGAAAAAGATTCATTTGAGAATACCAGCAAAACTAAGAAGACAGAAGGCTAGTGTCTTGGAAACCCCATGTTAACACAGCCATGGGCCCAAGGGACAGAAGGGCTCCTTGGTTAGGAAAGGACTGGTGAATGCAGACTTAGAGCCACCAGTCCCATGGCACAAACCAGGACAAGTTTGTGAAACCTGGTGGCTGGTGTACCTGGAATCACAAGGTCACCACACCTACTAAATCTTGAGCACATCTCAGTTACTCCCATCTTGATATGTTCCGCTCTGAAAGAGAGGGGAGATTAGGTAAATTGAACCAGACAAGTATTCCTGAAGTGACTACTATGTACATGCAGAGCTGAGCAGATACAATCTTACCCAAAAGTCCAGAGAGCAAAGGAGACATACACAGTGTGCAGGCAGAGTGGCCAAGGTTTGTTCCGTTTTTGGTACCTATAAGCTATCTGTCCAGGCCCAAGTGAAGAGTCGGTGCTTTGGATATCTCTGGAAAGTAACCTAGGTGACTGTTATCGTATGCCACACAGCAGAGGTAACATCTACAGCAAGGCTGGGGGACAAGCATAATACTGCACTGCCCCCTCATTAACCTCCAAATGAAAGACTTTTGGGGGGAGGGAGGACTTGAACTCAAGGCCTAGGCACTATCCCTGTGCTTCTTTTTGCTTAAGGCTAGCACTGTACCACTTGAGCCACAGCACCACTTTTGGCTTTTTGGGGTAGTTTATTAGAGATGAAAGTCTCACAGACTTACTTCTGACCCTCAGACCCCTCCTGCTACCTGGATGGTGATGGAGGCCATGTGCTCCCTCTTGGGGGAAATATGGCCCCTCTAATAAACCTTATAATAATCTTTTTCCTGTGCCTGCCTCTGTGTGGTCCCCTGGGATGGATGTGTGGGACCCTTCATTACTAAGATTTGAATTCAGAAGTAGCATGTCAGTAGGCAGGTACTGTTTGAAAATCCATGCTAACCCTTTGCTTAATATCTATTTTCCTGGGAAAGAGCATGCAAAATGTGTTCTTTTTTCTTGTTACACAGGCCCTATGTATTTTGGTATTTTGTGTTTTCTATCACCTACTTTCCAAGAAAAAAATTTAAATTAATTATTGTCCCAAAACTTTAAGCCTTAGATGTATGTACAATATATTTCTGTTCTGTTAAAAACATATGAAACTGGGTTCCAGTGGTTTATGCCTGTAATACTAGCTACTGAACAGATTCAGATCTGAGGGTCACTGTTCAAAGCCAGACTAGACAAGAAAGCCTATGAGACTTATCTCCAATTAAGAATCCTTAAAAGAAAAAAATCTCACAGATTTTCCTACCTGGGCTGCCTCGGATCTCAGGAGTAAGCCACTGTGCCCAGCCAAGTGAGAGATTTTTAAAGTCAGCTACAAGCATGTGAAGTCAGAGGCTTTGCTTAGGTTTCCCTTGGTTAGATTGTAATCTTAATCTTCTTCAGTACCTTGATTCTCCTTACTGAAGTAATACAGGCAAAAAAAAAAAAAAAAAAACTACCCCAAAATATACAGGGAATTAAAAGTGTTAGGGAGAAGAATTTTTACAAAGTCCAGTGGGAATTGAAACATGGAGATTCATTACATTTTTGAAAGTTATCTAGAGCTCAAAATATAACTCAGTATTAGAGCACTTGTCTAGCAAGTGAGATGACCTGGGTTAAATGCCAGCCACATAAAAATTAATAAACAAACCTTTACATACTTTCATTGATCATGGCTGACATTAGGTGTAGGGCAGAGAAGAATCACAGGAAGTCTGAGACATCAGAGTAAATGCTCAAAGTATGGGGACATATTAAAGACTGAAGGGATCCCAATGATGGCAAAGACTTACATGCCTTTAAATAGAGAACCACGGGGTCTACAGCAATATCACTGTAAGCAAATTGTTCAAATAAATGGGGGAAGGAATGTTTTTCCTTCTTGTAGACAGTCAGCTAATATCAAGAAAAGGGATTCTAGAACTAGAAAAATCACTGTTTGGAAAAAAAAAAAAAATCACTATGAGTGATGCAGCCAGAATCATCAGACTGCTAAGCTGGTGGATAGAAGTCTGATAGATACAGGATGTACACAGGGCCCCAGGGCACTCCCTATGGAGATTGTCAGTTACAATGGAAACCTGACAGAAATCACTTGCCACCTTCACCTGACTGTCTATCACTGCCAGAGCCAGGGCCAACCCTGCTGCAGTGCCCTGGAAAAACACCACCGTCACCTCTACAATCCTCCTGCCCAAAGGTCAGACCTAAATCTAAACTGGGAAAAACCATCAGAAAGTCAACAGAGGAACAATCCATGCTATGCAAAACTGTCAAGATGATGAAATATCACAGACTGTAGAAGTATTTCAGTCTACAGGAACTGTATGCCACATATGACCTTAACTTTTCTCATAAAAGACCTTACTTTAATTAAGATCTCAATAGACCTCAAGTGTGTGTGTGTGTGTGTGTGTGTGTGTGTGTGTGTGTGTGTGTGTGTGTGTGTGTGTGTGTGTGCGCGTGTGCCAGTACTGGGTCTTGAACTCAGGGCCTACTCACTATCCTTTAGCTTTTTCACTCAAGGTTGGAGCTCTATTACTTGAGCCACAACTCCACTTCCAGCTTTTTACTAGTTACTTGGAGATAAAAGTCTCCTGGACTTTCCTGCCTAGGCTGGCTTCAAACTGAAATCCTCAGGTCTCAGCCTCCTGAATAGCTAGGATTACAGGCATGAGCCACCGGCAGCTGGCTCTCAATGAAATCTTGACGCCAAGTTCCTGTGATCACCATACAGTACTATGCAAGAGAAAGCAAAGTCTTTGTTTTCAGAAAATCTACACTGAAATATTGAGGGAATTTTGCTAGCAATGTATTCCTAAATGGTTCACAAAGGAAAAACAGGAGTGGAGGGGCGGGGGGGGGGGGGGGGGGGGTGAGGTGATAGGAGATGAAGGAAAAGAGAAGAGAAAAGATACAGAGACCAACGTTTCAAAGGGTTGACAGTTGGAGAAATCTCCATGAAAACCATCCCCGCATGTCCTTACTATTCTTCTGAGTCTGAATTATGCCAGAGTGAAAAAAAATATGGTTGAATATAAAATGAAACATATCAACCCATAGAACTGTACACGAACACCTGTACCTTGAACTATATCTAAATTATACCTTAATTGAAATAATGAGAGCTTATACTACATGCTTTATCAAATAGTGATGATTAGAACCCTTCAATGAAAAACAGAGGTAAGGAGCCCGTCACAGACCTATTGAAATGACTGGGTTCTGCTTACTTTTAGTCTGAAATAATAAACCAGCCCATCAGAATAGCTGTCATTCCTGTGACCACAGACAGCTCTCATGATTTCCTGGCTGTAAGCTTCTACTACCTTCCTGCCACACTCCTTGACCAAAACCTATTGTGTGTTCAGCTGTGTAAACACAATCTCTCCATTCCTTTGTGAATCAACCCACAAAGACAAAGGTCCATTAAAGCAAATATGATCTTCCTTTTTTTGAAAAGCCAAACATGACAGTAATATTCTCTGATGAGGACACAAACACTACTCATTGAGAAACACAGGACATGCTGATGCCCTGCCAGGAGCCATTTGGGCACTTGGCTTACAATCTAGTATTTTCCAAATACTTTAAAAACAGGGACTTAGGGCTGGGAAGGTGGTTCAGTGGTAGAGCGCTTGCCTTGCATGCCTGAGGCCCTGGGTTTGATTTCTCAGCACCACATAAGCAAAAAGAAAAAAGCCAGAAGTGGCGCTGTGGCTCAAGTGGTAGAGCGCTGGCCTTGAGCTGAAGAGCTGAGGGACAGCGCCCAGGCCCAGAGTTCAGACCCACGACCGGACTCAAAAACAAACAAACAAAAAAAACAGGAACTTAGCCAGGCACCAGTGACTCACACCTGTAATCCTAGCTACTCAGGAGGCTGAGATCTGAGGATCACAGTTCAAAGTCAGCCCAGGCAGGAAAGTCTGTGAAACTCTTATCTCCAATAAACCACCAGAAAACTGGAAGTGGTACTGTGGCTTAAGTGGTAGAATGCTAACCTTGAGCTGAAGAGCTGAGAGACAGCACCTAGGCCCAGAGTTCAAAACCCACAACCACCACCATCACCACCAACAACAGAAAAAAACAGCGTCAAGCTATATAACCTACGTTGGCCTGAAACTCAAGTTCCTCCTGCCTTTACCTCCAAGTGCTGGGATTACAGGCATGTGCTACCATACTCAGCTTCCTTTTATATTTTTAAGAGATTATTATTAACATCACAGCCAGCTATTTTTTTCCAAAAATACAAATAAAACAAAGTGACTTTAATATTTCCTACCTTGCTTTAGAAATACTATAAATTCCTTTACAGTTTGTTCTAAATCGATTCCATGATACACCAAAAATTTGAAATTGCGGTGCTCAAATGAACGAATGATGCGAACCGTAATGGTCACTCCTTCAGCAGCCATGTGAAGCAATTCCTGTGGAAAAGATACGAGAACAACCTAAGTGAAATCAGCTCACAATTATCTACAGGTGACATGTCTGCCTTTCCACATTAGTTCTCTGGCACCCAGTCCGTCCTTCCACGCTATATAGTTAGTAACAGACTCCCCATGTGGAAGGCAGATTCCAGGGCACCTACAAGGGACCTTGAAGATTAGTCCCCCCACTACTGTGATCCAGGACAGTCAGTGTCTCAGATGTCCTGACCTATGGAAGACTCAAGGGCACAGAAGATGAACAGAAATAACTAGAGCTATATGCATGTGTGCGCAGGGAGAAATGGAATAGCCAATCACAAGCACATGGTAGACCCACCATGGCTCTGAGATTGCTATGCCAACAACCTGAATTGGTCCTGAGATGAAAGTACATTTCTAGAGTCAATCCAACAAGGAGCAATGTAACCTTGCAAGTGCTGCCAGATGTCAGGGTTGAGTTATCAATATATTATGGCCTCACCTATCTTTCACATCACTGAAGATGAGTATTATACTTCATCCTAAAACTCTGCACTAGTCCTGTGTGCCATGGGTTAATATTATCTCAGGTGAGGATCTCACCCAACTCACTGGAAAGGTAGAGACCAGACACTTAGCGAGACTGCAGAAAGGGTTCGACGTAAAGCTGGGAAATGATGGGGCCAGGATTCAGGCATCAATTTCATGCCAAAGACCATGCTTCTAACTTATGAATTGTATCTTCCCAAAGATGCTGCAAAGTTGCCAATATTTTAAAGACACAGTACAGTACAGATGCATATAGTAGTAGCTAAACCCTGCTATTTTCTTTTTTTTTTATTTTTTTTTTAAATTTTATTTTATTTTATTTGAGAACATACTGTACAGAGGGGTTACAATTACATGGGCAGGATAATGCATACATTTCTTACCAAGCATTACAGCCTCCTCCTTTGTTTACCCTTCACCTCCCTTCCCAGCCTCCCCCCTCCCCCCCACCCAATCATACCCCCCCCCCCACCGACATTGTAAAGCTGGTTTTGACATGACATTTTGTACTTCTCATTGTTGCAACAGGTCCACCTGAATCCTTAAACGACTTGTTTGTCCCCGTCTCCTCCACATGTTATACTGACATCAAATATAGTGAAAGCGGGGGTTACACTGTGGGGGAGGGACTTACAAAGCAACAAAGAAATAATCTTATAAATGCGTTAGAAACACATGCATGAAAGAAACAAAAACATTAAAATACATATTTGAGGGTTCATTTTCCTAACATCACATTCTCTGACTTTTTCCGCTTGACTCATACCTATACTAGATATTGCAAATAAGGGAAACCATGGGACCTATGTTTCTTTGGGCCTGGCTTACTTCACTTAATATAATTTTTTCCAAGCCTTTCCATTTCCTAACAAATGGGGAAATGTCATTCTTTCTGATGGAGGCATAGAATTCCATTGTGTATATATACCACATCTTGATCCATTCATCTACTGAGGGGCATCTGGGTTGGTTCCATATCTTAGCTATGGTAAATAATGCTGCAATAAACATAGTTGTGCTGGTAGCTTTAGTGTGGCCTTGTTTGTGATCATTTGGGTAAATGCCCAAAAGTGGGATTGCTGGGTCATTGGGGAGCTCTATGTGGAGTCTTTTGAGGAACCTCCATACTGCTTTCCAAAGTTAAACCCTGCTATTTTCATGTCATTTTCAGTCACAACCTACAATAAGAGAAAGGCACAGTCATCCCTTAGTATCCTTGGGAAATTAATTCCAGGATGCATCCCCCCCAATACATGTACCATGAACATCCAAAGCTAAAAATGCTGGTCTGTTATTTAGGATAGCATAGTATTTACATTTAACTATGTACATTCTACTATATTCTACTATATGTTCACTAGATTTCAATATTTTCAATCAGCACTTGGTTAAATCCATGCACACAGAACCCATGGACATTAGGAAAAAAAGACCTATGATGCTAATAAACATAATAAAGAATAAAAATTTAGCAGGACATGCATGGTGGCATTTGCCTATAATCCCAGCACTTGGGAGCCAAGATAGGAGGATAGCAGATAAGAAACCCGCCTGAGCTACATAGTGACCCTGTCTAAAAAAACAAAAAGAGCAGGGCTGGCTCACTACTGTAATCCTAGCTACTCAGGAGGGAGAGATCTAAGGATTTCAGTTCAAAACCAGCCCAGGCAGGAAAGTCCCATGAGCTTTTTAATTATTTTTATTTTTATTTTTTTTTGGGTCCGGTCGTGGGGCCTGAACTCTGGGCCTGGGCGCTGTCCCTCAGCTCTTCAGCTCAAGGCTAGCGCTCTACCACTTGAGCCACAGCGCCACTTCTGGCTTTTTTCTTTTTGCTTATGTGGTGCTAAGGAATCGAACCCAGGGCCTCAGGCATGCAAGGCAAGCGCTCTACCACTGAGCCACCTTCCCAGCCCCCCATGAGCTTTTTAACTCCAATTAACCACCTAAAAAAAAAGCAAGCCAGAAGTGGAGCTGTGGCTCAAGTTGATAGAGTACTTAAGCAAAAGAAACTCAGGGACCACACGTAGTCCCTGAGTTCAAGCCCCAGGAAGGCACCAAAAAATATTTTTAAAAGCATAAAAATTCAACCTTACAAATAATCCAAGAGATAAAAAATAATGGCAAATTAAAGTGTGACAATGCTAGTGTTGACAGAGGGACAGGGGTATAAAACAATGAAAGCCTGACCATTTTGATAAATATTATTTTATGTAATCACCTTTGTGATTGGATCCTTCCCCCCCCCACCCCTGCCAAAAAATGAACTATACAACTGGAGGGCCGGGAAAATGGGGAGAGTAAGGGAAGGGAGTGACATTGTTCAAAAAGAAATGCACTCTTCATCTGACTTATGTAACTGTAACTCCTCTGTACATCATCTTTACAATAACAATAAATTTAAAACAAAAGTAACAGCCTAACCTAGGCACCAGTGACTCATATCCATAATCCTAGAATACAGAATAAAATAACTGCAAGAAAGAAAGAAAGAAAGAGAGAGAGAGAGAGAGAGAGAGAGAGAGAGGAAGGAAGGAAGGAGAGAGAGAGAGAGAAAGAAAGAAAGAAAGAAAGAAAGAAAGAAAGAAAGAAAGAAAGAAAGAAAGAAAGAAAGAAAGAAAGAAAAGAGAAAGAAAAATCCGATCAGTGAAGGGACAGGGAACATTCAAATGGGAACTACTCATGGTGATCAGGCAGTAGTTAGGAAAGCTGTAAAACTTACCTTTCAGCCCAGCAATTTCCTTCATAGGCAAAGGCCCAGGGAATCTCTGGAGGAGGTATGCAGGAAGAGCTAGAAAGGAATAATAACACAGCATGGCTTGTTAACTACGAAATGTGCTGAGAACTGTCCATGGACATGAGAATGGATATGCAAATGATGGCATACTCAGACTACAAAATACCCAGGCAGTAAAACTGAACACATCAAGTGATCCATTAACATGGACGGATCTCAGAAATGCTGCTTTAAGTGAGTAAAAACAAGTTACACAACAATCAGAGCAGGAATAAATTTTTAAAAATATTCCAAGATATCAAATGAAAGGCTACATTTTTAACCATGAGGGTTCAAAATTGTAAAAATTTCTATCTTGGTATGGTGGACACACTTGTAATTCCAGATGTCAGAAGGCTGAGGCAAAAAGATGGAGTTGGAGGCCAGCCTGAGTTACAAAGCAAAATAACTGTCTCAGGAAGGCAGGAAGGAAGGAAGGAAGGAAGGAAGGAAGGAAGGAAGGAAGGAAGGAAGGAAGGAAGGAAGGAAGGAAGGAAGGAAGGAAGGAAGGGAGAGAGGAAGGGAGGGTGGGAGGGAGGGAGGGAGGGAGGGAGGGAAGGAAAAAGGGGGAAAAGAATGATATAAAATAGTAAAAAAAAAAAAAAAGGGGAGCCTGGCACCAATGCTTTATGTTTAAAATTAACCACTACAACAGTTTTCTGTGGTTCAAACTGGTAAAACACTAGCATTGAGTAAAAAAGTTCAGGGACAGGACCCAAGTCTAAGTCTCACAACTTATACTCCCCACCCACCCCTCCACCCAAAAAAAAGCCAGAGGTAGAGGTATGGCTCAAGTGGTAGAGTGTTAGCTTTGAACAAAAGAAGCTGAGGGATAGCACCCAGGCCCTTTGTTTAAGTCTCAGAACTGACACCAAAAAGTAAATATATAAATAATAAATAATGGCCAAATTAGTGTCAATAAGGATATGGATAAATATTTTTATCCACTACTGGTAAAAATATAAAATGGTAGAGCCTTTATGTAGGTGAAAGGGGTAATTTGTCAAAGCTTTCAAATTATTAGCCCTTTCATATTTTATTTTGCTTCTAATGAGTCAGCCTCAAAAGATAACCATACCAAATAAATCCATGAATTTGTAATATTTTCGTGTGCTGATTGTGGAGCATGAACTCAAGGTCTGGATGCTGTTCCTTAACTTTTCCCCTTCAAAGCTGGCATTTTACCACTTGAACCACAGCTCCACTTCCAGCTTTTTGGTAGTTAATTAGAAACAAGAGTCTTATGGACGTTTCTGCCCAGGCTAACTCTTAATCACAATTCTGAAATCCTAGGCTCCTAAGAAAATGATGACTTCAAGTATAAGTCACCAGCACCCAGCCACACACACACACACACACACACACACCTTTTTTTTCTTTTCTTTTTGCCACACACACAACACACACACACACACACACACACACACACACACACACACACACACACTTTTTTTTCTTTTTCTTTTCTTTTTGCCAGTCCTGGGGCTTGAACTTCTGTACCTGTTCTCTGACTCCAAACTTCTTTTTGCTCAAGCCCAGCACTCTACCACTTGAGCCTCAGTGCCACTTGTGGCTTTTCTGAGTAGTTTATCAGAGATAAGCATCTCATGGATTTTCATGTTCAGGATGGCTTTGAATCACAGTGATCTTAGCTCTTAGCCTCCTGAGTAGCTAAAGTACAGGCATGAGCCACCAGGGTCCAGTTCCCTAATAATATTTTTTTTGGGGGGGGTCCAGTCATGGGGCCTGAATTCTGGGCCTGGGCGCTGTCCCTCAGCTCTTCAGCTCAAGGCTAACGCTCTACCACTTGAGCCACAGCGCCACTTCTGGCTTTTTTCTTTTTGCTTATGTGGTGCTGAGGAATCGAACCCAGGGCCTCAGGCATGCAAGGCAAGCGCTCTACCACAGAGCCACCTTCCCAGCTCCCCATAATAATATTTTTAAGAGAAAGCTAACTAGTCAATGTTGAAGCTAGCAGGGCACTAACTTTTTTCTTAATTATCTTCTATAGAAATGTGAACCAAACATTTTATCCCCTCTCTTACACAGATTTATTTCAGGGTTCTCAAGAAGCTAATGGAGAAAATTCTTCTTTACAAACTATTTAGTTTAAGAGTACTGGAAAATTATAAAATTTAAAAATCATAATCTTCAAAGCTATCAGAATGGCTCAACCAAAGCATAGATAATCACAAATTCTGGTGAAACTAGATGTCCCAAGTATTGCTGCTGGTAACATAAAATGGTGTAGCCAATATGAGAAAGAATACAACAATTTCTTACCAATATAATCCTCTCAAGAAGTGTTCTCAAGAGTTTGTTAGAGACATGAAAGTCATGTTGGCACAAACACATGTACAGCAACACTTGTAACATAGTTGAGAGTAATCTCTCACATTGAAATCAATCCAAATGTCCTTCAATAGATGACTTGTTAGAAATCACAACAAGGAAAAAAATATTGGCACACAAAACTATTTGGAAGGGAATTAGGAGAATCAAAGACAGCCAACCACAAAAGGTCACAAACTGATATAATAAAACTACAGAAATAGAGAACAGTTGAGCCGGGCGCTGGTGGCTCACACCTGTAATCCTAGCTACTCAGGAGGCTGAGATCTGAGGATCACGGTTCAAAGCCAGCCCGGGCAGGAGACACCGTGAGACTCCTATCTCCAATAAACGGCCAGAAAACCGGAAGTGGCACTGTAGCTCAAGTGGTAGAGCGCTCGCCTTGAGCTGAAGAGCTGAGGGACAGCGCCCAGGCCCAGAGTTCAAGCCCCACGACCAACAAAAAAAAAGAAATAGAGAACAGTTGAGTATCACCACAATCAGCAAAAAGAAGAGTGTCGGGGATCCTTGCAGTGAAAATCTGATTTTTGATTGGTACAGTCCACATTTGTCTCCACATGTCATAAAACTGCACACACACACACACACACACACACACACACACACAGAAACTTGGGGAGATTTGAGTGGATACCTTAGACTGTATCAATGAATTTCTTGGTTGTTATAGTGAACTCTACCCAAGCAAGATGTCACCATTGCATGAAATAGGGTGATGGGTATAAAGGGTCATTCTGTATCATATTTTACAACTGCATGTGAAACTTATGGCTATAAACAATATGTCAAATGATGAGGTACTAAAACTATCAGGTTAAAAGATGGGAGACATCAGGTAGAAACAGTATGAATGAGTGATCAAACCCTAGATTTCCTGGTGCATTAGGAATGATTGTGGAGGACAGGTTAAGGAATGCCATGAGAAGCCTCAGATATATCTACCAGAGAAGTGAACTTGTTTCTTCTAGAAATAAATTACATGAAAAATTATGGGAGGTAGGGTTTAAATGAAAAGAGACTTTAAAGAGATGTAATAACCACTGCCACATTTAGAACTTGTATGGATCCTAATTTGCAAAATATTAGGTGTTACATATGAATGCTAATTTTGTGCATATGGAATTATGTTTATTCTTTTAAATGCTTTTTTTTTTTTTGGTCGGTCGTGGTGGCTGAACTCTGGGCACTGTCCCTCAGCTCTTCAGCTCAAGGTAGCACTATACCACTTGAGCCACAGCACCACTTCCGTCTTTTTCTGCTTATGTGGTGCTGAGAAACCGAACCCAGGGCCTCCTGCATGTGAGGCAAGTACTCTACCACTGAGCCACCTTCCCAGCTCTTAAATACTCATATTAAAAGAAAAAGGAATATATAGACAAAATGACATACTGGTATTTGTAAACAAATACCAGGTCAGACAAAACAACTCTGGAGATGTAGGTAAGAAAAAAGAACTGGGCCTATGCAAGTAGCTCAATGGAAGAGTACTTGTCTAGTAGGTAAGAGCTCTGGGTTCAATTCCCAAAATTGAAAAAAAAAAAAAAAAGGAAGAAGAATGTAGAACACTGTTAGCCACTGGAGATGAGTATATATAAAATATTATTCTATTTTTGCATAGGCTTGCATTTTTAATAACAAAAACATTTTAGAAGTGTTCAAGGATCTAAATGTGAGGTTTTTCTAAGTTACTGAAACTGGAATCTATATAAAGGTTGATCCATGAAGAACTGGTTAAGTAAATTATACTCCAAAAAATAAAATACCTTGCATGCATTAAAGGATGGTCTATATAACTTAAGGGTACTGCTGTGGTTTGTGTGTGATGTGTGTCCCTCAATGGTTCATATGTTGGGAATCAGGCCTCAGGTTGGTTATGTGGAGGAGGGAGGGTCTGTGCTAGAAGTAGGGACCTGGGCTCAGGGTATAAAGCACCTACTTAGTGTGAATAAGGTTCTGGTTTCAAACTCTAGCATGAGATGGTTATATCCTACTATTTACCAAGGAATAATAAATAAATCCAAAAGGCATTTAGCAATCAGGGCCATCAGAAGCAGGTCACAGGCCCAGAAGGAGCCTAAACTTGTCTACATTTGCTTTCCACATTCAGCCCTGCCCTGGCTCTACGCCCCTATGCGTCACCCTATGCTGTCACCAAGCCTGCGCCACACCTTTCTACTATAGGCTCTCTCCTAAGCCCTTCCATGTCCTGATTCACCTTTCAATGCCCTTCAAGAGTAGGCCAGGAACCACCTCCTGCTGGACACCTTGAAGGTCAGTTTCTCCTCCCCCCATGCTGAGCTTTAGCCTCTCCTTTGCATCCTTAAAGTGGTCACTTATTGAAGGTATGGAATCTACTGGCTTTTTTTTTTTTTTAACAAATCCTAGGGCTTGAACTCAGGACCTGGGCACTGTTCCTGAGCCTCTGTGTGCTCAAGGCTAGCACTCCACTACTTGAGTCACAGCACCACTTTCGGCCTTTTCTGTTTATGTGGTACTGAGGAATCGAACCCAGGGCTTCGTGCATGCTAGGCAAGTACTCTACCACTAAGCCATAGTCCCAGTCCCAACTGGCTTCTTTTTTTTTTTTTTTTACTGTTATTATAAAGTCAATGTACAAAGGGGTTACAGTTACATAGGTCAGGTAAAGAATACATTTCTTTTTG